CTGTTTAATCGTTGTGGAACGATTATAGTATTGAAATATTTGATGAATAGAACGGAGCACTTTGGAAAAGTATCTACAAGGACTGTACTTCTTAGCGAGGCAGGACGAGTGTTCATTCTTAGTTTTGACCTGCACTTGATAATAATATTTCGAGTCGTCAACGTTATCAAAATCAAAGCATCGGTTATTTAATATCGGTCCTCTTACATGCTCTTGGAACTAAACTCGGCCTTGCATCCAAGTCTTGTTTCCAAAAATCCAGAATCAACGAGAAACAGAAGAGAAGAACATGCAACAAACAGTAAACAAAAACGAAGGAAAATCCCTGCTTACATCGACCTTTACCTCGTTTAATAAGAAAGCCGTCAAGCTCAGTACCGAACTGATGCTAAAAATGAAGATCCTTTTGGTATTTAAATACGTCTACAAGCGCACAGTTTGCTTGCGTTCTAAGTAGAGAAGTGCATGAACAAATTTGAGTTCCTAATCTACGAAACGTTTTTTATTCAAGAACTAAGACCCGCTCTCAAAGCTCAATCGCCCGTGCAAAGGCTTTTAATTAGCTTGTAATTATTTTCATCCCTTGGTACGCTTTTATTGTCCGTTTAACCCTGCTAAATATTTTATACATTTTACATGCATATATACCTATATTCATTGCTTCACCTTTACCATTCACTTGAAAATCACCGAAGTATGGTCGTAACGTCTTTTTTTATCTTTGACTTTTATTCTCAAAAGTTCTGAATAAAGTCCAAAAAAAATAAAAGTAACACGGAAAGGAGTGATTTTAGTAATAATAACAACTTACACTTGATTTGAATACAAATCAGGTCTTTCCATGCGGTAACTGGTCTTCAAGTGTCTCATAGTTCTGTGTTGGTTGACATTGGATATAGAGAACCTCTTAGTAATAAAACGATAGAAGAATAGTGATTGGAACGACCTTTTTTCTTTTAAAAAATCTTTCTTTCATTTTTATGGTTCAATTTTGGGGTTAAGGCTAGTTTCAAAAACTTTTTTACTCGATAAAAACTTTTCAGTTTAATAGTTCCATGTTAGGTGCGTTTATTGAACAATTCAAATGAGTTGAAATTTACTGACGCGATATGTTGCTCGCGTGCATCTTGTTACTCAGAAAAATCCTTACGGCGACTGTATCACAGAGATACCATCTAAATCACGTGCACCAGCCGTAAGTACCGCAAAGATGAAAAAGGCTAATTACAAGATTATAAAACTTCCTGTGTGGCTTTAAAAAGAATCAGAAAACTTCCTGTGCGCCCTTTATAGCTAGTATTGCCTAAAATGTCATGTATGACTCAAATGCATCGAATACGGGAGCAAGGAAATGAGAAATATCAGCTTGTACACGCCCTTAACCTGCAGTAAGTAGAACACCTATAGACTGGCTTAGTCAGGGAAGATATA